TAAAAATTATATGAATGCACTAAAATCTGCAAAATGTGTTTTTAATTAACAATTAAACAAATAGAATTATTGATAACGCTTAATAAATATAATTTTTCTTATTACCTGAAATAACTAAAAAATCAAACTTTATATAAAATCGAGTAATCTACTCCTAACAGCCATTTAACTTTTGAACTTTTAACATCCGATTTGGTAACTTTTTCTTTAAATATCTAACAGAAGAAAGGACATAAAACTAATCGATCCCAGGAGTGAGAAATCCCTAGTCGTCGTTGCCCAATCTAAAAATGTTCCAAGGACAGGTTGAGCAAAAGTTCAGGAAACTAAAGATAAAAACTAAAAAAACAAAAAACAAAGAACAGAAAAAAGAATAAGATAAAAAAAAAAATGTAGAGTAAGTAAGTAAGTAAGTAAGTAAGTAAGTAAGTAAGTAAGTAGGAAACCGGTTTTCGTTTAAAAGACCAAAACGATATGGAAAAAGTTGATGGAACGTTTTCGGTTCGTTATTGCTCAAGTCTTAGGAGTAAATCGCGCGAAAACTTTGATCGATGTTCTTTGCCTTTGACCTTTGACTCGAAAAATACCTTGTACGAGGTCCAGGAATCAAGAAGAAGAAGAAGAAGAAGAAGAAGAAGGTCGAGTTAGTGTGTTCACCATCGAGAGATCGATATTGTCAAGTGTAGTAGAATTTCCTCATCCTTGATAGTTTAGGGTTCTTTGACTTGACGATAGAATGCGATTTATCGATCGTAAGATCAAACGATCGATAGATCGATCCTTTAACGTGACTTCCTGTCGTCTTGCAAAACGGTACTAAGATGAGAGAGGTGAAGAAGAAGGGGTGGGGGGGAGGAAGGAAGAAGGTTCGTTAGCATCTCATCGAGAAACGAACGATGAGAAATCGTGGGTCTCGATAACCTCTGATCCCCACCACTTTCTTATTCTCCCCTCTCTCTTTCTCTCTCTCTCTCTCTCTCTATCTTTCTTATAGTCAAGACAAAGTGCTTTATGGAGGTGCGTGTATCAATGTCGCGAGAAGAGTGAAATCTCTTATCGATGTACTGAAGAGACCTATGAAGATTTTCGCTTTATTAATGATTTAATTAAATCGACTATGACAGTAGTTAATCAGTCTTTGCTCGATATTAATCGTGAATTATTTTAGGTTACAAAAAAAAAAAATAATCATAAAAAAGAGAAATGAAGTAATATCGAGAAATTAAAATTATTAATATAATATTTTATTTATTTTATACAAGAGAGTATATATATTCGAAAATGAAATATTTAGTAAGTTAAATTAAGAACGACTTAAATTGAAAATATATTTTATTTATTTTACACAACTGGATTTTTAAACAATAAGAGGACACACTCTATTCCATTTTTATAATAATTGTGAATTATTTATGGTTACATAAATTTTTATAGAGAAAAAGAAATAAAATTAAGAGAAGGATTTTAATTGAAAAATATTATATTTATTTAACATAAATGAATGTGTGCTTACAATAAAATTGTTTCAACAGAAATGTTAAAAATAATGGATTTGTGTATTTATTAATGATATTAATTTGTAACACATACGTTTATTATACACACATACATTATTTGAACAGATTAACTATCTTATTTAAGGTTCTTTCAAAGGAATGACGTATATCTACTAATCAATACGACGAACGAACGAACGAAGGAAAGAAGAAACGAACTAATGAACAAAGGAATAAGGGAACGGAAGGACGAACGCAACCCTGATGCACGAATCCATTGTAATTAGGTTTGATCGTGCATACCGTTAATGGATACGATATATCGAAGCATCAAAACTCAGTAAACTCAGCTAACCAAATTATTATCCAAGTTTGTCTCTTTTCAGTCGAGCTATTTGATGCTTGATTTATCTTTCATTAAATGTATTTATCTTCTTCTTCTTCTTCTTCTTCTTCTTCTTCTTTCTCTTCATCATTTTCTGTTTATATTCGAGCGTTCATCTTCTAAACGTCCTTCCAAACTAAAACAAACTTTCACGAAGTTTTAACGTTCGACGTACTCAGTGATTTTCTAATTGGGTTATTTCGGCAAAACTCGAATGAAAATCGTAAAAAGAGAGATAAATAAAAAAGGATAAAGAACATGATTGAAAGAGTTAGAGAAAAATAAAGGCTAATGCCCATCGACGAGAAGACGACCATTTAAGAAACACCGCTGTCGACGACTTTACTCGCCTAAGTTTTATTGCGGACAGTATAAACCGTCCTCGGTAGCAAGTACAAACACGGACTTCCGTCGGGAGGCTATGGTGTAAACGATTTAAAGTGCATTGGATAAGTCTCTCAGGATCGAGTCGAGTTAAATGAAAATAAACCTTCTTTAGATGGGCAAATATTCTCCTGCCCCTCTCCCCCTCGCTCCATCCCTACCTACTAAACCTTCTTTTTTCTATTTGTATTATTTTTTTTTCTTTATTTCTTTCTCTTTGTATAATATTGTGATTTATTCATTTCAATTTTAGGTTTGATAAGGTACTATTTTTTCTTTTATTTGTAATAAATTTTTGCAACACGGGATGATTTTAATGATATTTTTGATCGATATTAAATGGTTTTGTTTATTTTTAGTTTAATGGGGGAATGATTGTTATTTGAGTGATGTAATTGATAATTTGATTATTCTAAACTATTATTTTTCATTTTATTTTGAAAAGAAATGTAAATTTCTCTCGTGAAGAGATAGGGTTGTATCGGTTGATATCAAATTTTTATATTCATATACATAATTTATGTTTTTCCTATGGGTTAATAAAACAAAATTGTAATTTATTTATTTACGCGTATATATAGGTTAAGATAAAAAAATAAAATTAAAATTATTCCTTATATCTTCGGAAATAAATTAAGAGAGCAAAATTCTATTATGCACCAAAAAGCATCAACTTAAATATCAGATTGTAATTATAAAAGAACCTTGAACCTTAAAACAAAATAAAATTTTTCGTGAAAAACAATATAAACAAACAATATGAACAATACAATTGCAATTTATTATCTATCCAAGTAGATCAAGTTAATTAGAAATAAAAAATGCTCATTTAATATGCTGTTTTATAATAAACATAGAATTCATTCAATT